AAAAAAAAAAAAAAAAAAAAAAAAAAAAAAAAAAAAAAAAAAAAAAAAAAAAAAAAAAAAAAAAAAAACAAAAAAAACAAAAAAAACCAAAAAAAAAAAAGAAAAAAAAAAAAAATAGAAGAAATAATGTTATTCTTGAGCAGGTTGCATCGTCGGCCTTACAATACGATCCTCCTTTTCCCTGATGTACTTTCGTAAGAGCTCCTCCAAGGTGTTATCCTGCTGATCGACTGCAATTTGCGTAGCCTTTCTTGCCAACTCCCAAATCCAAAGTTTTGCGGCGTCATTGTCCGATCCCTTTAGATCGGTTCCGCCTTTAAATTTTTGTACCGCATTGGCGACGTCCCGTGCCGAGAGCTGATGATTCGGATATTTTGCCTTCAACAACTGTCGTTGAGTGGTCACCCCCAGGTTACCGTGGAGGGTGTAGAATTCGATGTCGTCAAGGACGGATTTGGGTAGATTGCGGTTTTTTGTGGATGCTGCATCTATTACACTACGGTATCTTGGTGATGAGATTGTCTGAGTTGTAGAGGACTGCGTCGACGGCCTGGATTCACGTGTTTGCTGAAGATTGAGTTCATGATTGTGCTCGTTCACAAAAGTGGTGACGGTTATGTGGGAACTAGTCTTTGGGAAAGAGAGATTAATGTGCCACCCACATTCGATACGTTTTGATGTTCGATTGCGTTGTTCATGTACTGCCGCCTTCTTCTTTGGAGTGTACCTCCCGCCATGCTCACAATCGTAGGTTCTTTTTCTGACCATTCCCATTTCATCCCTTTCGACTCGCTTCTTCCTGACTACAAAACCACGCTCACGTCCATAAAGCTCCAGAAATTCGTCAACGTGCTCCCAATTCTGAAAAGTGGTCCCAACTGCCAAGATTATACTTGAAGTTGTGTTGGTGGCTTGAGGTGTAACAAAAACTCCGTCATTAAATCCGCCGGCGGTACCACTGAAACCTGCCGAATCCTGAGGCGACGAGGGAGACACCGGAGCGATGTCTCTGTGATTAGATCCGTCTTGGTCAACTCCAAGTGCAATTGACGCCGGAGGAATGACTGATAACATGGTAACATCCTCACCTCCTTCGTAATTCATATTCCTTTACGTTTTTATGGATTTAAGGTTTATAATTATGCGAGCTCGATGTTTAAAGTAGAATCAACCAGAAGTAAGATGCGACAATTAAATAGAAAGATCCTTAAGAATTGAAATTGAGTTAACAATCAGACAATTCTCCATATATACCGATATCAGAAGACATGGTGATCTTCTTCAACCAATCAAAATCGGACAATCACAAGACACTTTCAAGAATTGTTGGTTAACGCTTATGGTAACTACAATATGCCACAGTACAAAAGATTCGATACATCACGTGCCAAAAAAATGAAACCACCACTATTCGCATCGAAACCAATATACGCACGTCACATATTCACGTCAGTATAATGTGGGTGTGGATGTAAATGAATTTTTTTAGAATTTGATCGAACTCTCGAATGCATTTCTAAGGATTATTATTAAAAAAAAAAAAAAAAAAAAAATTTTTTTCTCTTCCTTGTATTACTTACTATGAATACAAACAAAGATTATTTATGCCCTTTTTTCAGAAAGAAATTTTTAGCACTCTATTGCCGATAGAACAATCGCCGCTGTGAAAGAGACTTAAAGTGCATTCTACTTACGCATAAATCCCTTAGGATTAGATCCCATCATCAAGACAACAGTTAGAACACAACATAGGGACAACTTTCACCTAGGATCATCAAGAAAATGCAAATGGTAACATTTATTCGTACAGTGAATCCGACAAAGTTTTACAGAAAAACTTTCCTTCAGGCAGTGGATGCCAAATGTCTGGGCCTGCACTCATTCTCACTGATGGGTCTTAAGAAGACGGAGTCGGGCGGATGATCTTTTTCGCCTTCCTCAAATGTGTAACTGCTAGCGATGGCCAAGTATGTGCCATCCTTATTGAAATCCAAGCTAGCGATGCTGGTCGGATATTGCGGATATTGTCGGAGACGTTTTTTGTTAAATCCATCCCATATGTTAACGACACCGTCGGATCCTCCCGAAGCGAACGTGCCGTGCCTATCGAAGATCACAAGAAGAATTGACGATCAATCTGAGGTCCCTGACCGTAAGGTGTCATCATGATGATTACTCACGTTGGATGAAATGCTAACGCGTTAACAGGATAGACCGTATCAATACCGTCGATGACTCGGCGATGACACTTGAAAGCGTATTTCCGTGATTGTGCTTCGGGCGAAGGATCGAAGAATTCGACTGCGACGCGTCCTTCAATTGAACTGCATGCGTAGCCTGTATCAAAGATAACCGATGAAAATTGAATCGCACTTAAACGTCACGGGCCTTGGAGGAATTTCAACTCACCCTGCAGATTGGGCATACATTTGACGCACCGAGTCATAAACTTTAAGCTACTCTCCCGTTTTTGCAGTGTTTCTGACATATTCCTTATGTCGTAAATAAAAAATTGTCTTCCGGCAGTCGCAACCACTAACTTAAATGAGACCAAAGAAATCGCAAAGACCTTGGCATCAGGACCCATATGATATCTTCCGGTCTGTGCGTCGTTATTACGAACATCCCATAACCGAATGGTCTGATCCCAGGAACCTGTCACAATAAGATCTAATTTATAAACGAATGAACAAAAAAGGTTTAAAAGCTAAATATCATGTTAAACGAAAAAATTCAATCAATCAATCAATCAATCAATGCAAAGAAAGTTTCCCTTGCATACTGTTTTCTAGATTGTACTCGATACACTTTACGGCATTCTCGTGGGTTCCCACTATGGATTCGTTATGTGTATTGATGTCAAAACTATTAACATCAAAAGGCAATTTAGCAGCACGTCACTTATGTCAAGGTAATTAATTACGTTTTGCGAAATGGTGCACCTTTTTATGCAATGATCTAGGCCGGCACTGTATATATGAGCACCGTCGGAAAAACAACAATCAAGAACTGCTGCGTTGTGATTATAAGAGCCCCGGAGCAGGTTTTCCTCAACATCATATAGCTTCACATTCTGGAGGTGCCAGGAGCATTCGCGATCAGCGGAGAATATGAAGAGTGAACTCAAAAGATAACTGGTTTATACCTTATCCCACGACGACACCAGTAAGTGATTCGAGGTTGTTGGGCTAAATACGACGGAGGATATGGCATCAGAAGGTGGATCGAGTAATTCGAATTGTTGCATGGAAGTAACGGCCGTTTCGTGATGATGTTACGATGCGTTACGTGTATTTTCGCATATTTTAATTAGATCGGTCTCATTGGCCATGCAGGTTATGCATATACCCGGTATTCTGCTTTACTGGTCACTGATTTCTTATCAGATTTTAATTTCCATAATTCAGGCACAAGTCTGATTACGCAAGCAAGCAAGAATTCTTTTTGATCAGTTTAAAAAAGAAATTGTCTATTTTAAATTCAATTACACGGACTTCATTTGAAAGTCAAATAAATGTTACGCGTAAAAAATTTATCAAGACGGTTAGGGCTCTGGGAAATTTCCATTTTCAACTATTTCGGCAAAAATCATTTGTAAAGTATCATCATCGTTCAACCTTAGTCGGACTATTACATGCCGATGTTAAATACGTGTGATTTCTCTAACAAATAACGCAATTATCAACATAACTAGATGATGCAATAATGGGTTCTTGAAATTTTGCCGACCAAGACGCTGCAGTGCAACATCAAGCATTGCACCATTTCTTCAGATCCCTGAGCGCCATCTCCAAAAATTACGCATAATTTTGAAATGACGAATAATTATGGTCCCACCCTTGTTATCAGCGGTGGTGCTGGAACCATAGAAAGGGATAATTTTCCGGCGGAAGAGCAACAAAAATACCTAGATGCCTTAAAGGAATCCCTCAGGGTTGGTTATAAAATTTTGATCGAAGGAGGAAGCTCAATTGATGCCGTTGAAGCTTCTGTCATATCGTTGGAAGGTTTGCAACAATTCTTGGAATGCTTGATCTTGATTTATGTCATTTTCAATGTTATTTATCACGCTCCGCCTCTTCTCAAGATTGCCCACTTTTTAATGCCGGTAAAGGATCAGTGTTCACTATAGGAGGAAAGGTAACCCAGTTGTTAGGAAATACTGTATATCTTTAAGTGATCTCGATCTCAATGACAACAACGTTTAAATCCATTCGATAAAGAATGAATTGGAATCATCCATCATGCTCGGTATCCCGTCTCACACAGCTGGTGCATGCACTCTACTTCACACAATCAAGAACCCCATAGTTTTAGCAAAAACCCTATTGTTGGATCCAGAGAATCCGCATGTGTTCCTAGGGGGAATCGAAGCGGAAAAATATGCGAAATCCAAAGGATTGGAAATGGTGGATCCAAGTTATTTTTTTACCGAACAAAGATGGAAGCAACACATGGATGGATTAGAAAAAGGAAAGTCATCAGAAAATATTGGTTACGACGCGCCGCAATTGAACTTCAATGATGCATCCCAACCGGAATTTGATCCGAGCCCAATGGGAACTGTCGGCGCAGTCGCCGTTGATGTGAACGGAATTATCGCGGCAGCTACATCTACAGGTATATCAAGCACGGGTTCATTTTCTTGTTATGATACTGAGATCCTGAGACACGCTAGTTCTTTACGCATAAAACTATTTCTTTCCAATTTATGCAATTATGAATCGAAGGCGGATTTAATAACAAAAAAGATGGTCGGATAGGTGACACTCCCCTGATCGCGTGTGGTACCTGGGCCGATAATGATACTTGTGGTGTGAGCGGTACAGGAAATGGGGAGGTAACGATCAACTCATCCACCCACTCAACTATGTCGACAAAAATAGATTCACAAATTTCTTTGCTTCAAAGTATTTCATTCGCTTTAGCGTCGCGCGTGATGTATCAGCTAGAATGCAATATCTTGGTGAAAATCTACACGAAGCTGCGACGACCGTCATCGAGAATCTTAGAAAGGTTGGTGGCAATGGTGGTGTCGTTGCTTTGGATAAGTATGGTAATGGTATGTATGTTTAACAAAGAGTACCTACCTATACATTTCCTTTCTGAAATCTCTCTTGTTCACATTCACATTTTTATGACCCAAAGTTGCAATGCCTTTTAACACCAGCGGAATGTATAGGGGATACATTCGCACGTCCGACGGCATTCCGCATGCCTACATTTTTTGAAATATTTTTGGTCTATACACGTATCGCATGAGATGTTCCTTCTGTTCTCCGTAAAAACGATATTTTAATACCAAGCATATTTTTTTTAACGGCTGGTTCATCCAATTTTTTTATTTATTAAATTGAATTTCATCAACAATACAATGACCAAAGAAGAAAGAAATTTGCTCCACAAATAGTAAAAAGGAAACGATAGGAAAATTTTCGTCTCGTGGTTTACTGCCATCTTTAAATGAGAGTCCGATATGTTGCCTCCAACCTTTAATGTCAATTTTGATTCGTTAATAGGTAAAATTTTCAGAAAGATCAATGGATTTAAAAAAAAAGAATTCAAATGAAATTTTTATAGACATTTATAGGATAATCGCAAATTTATTTAAACCCTTCATGTCATTAAAATGCTTGTCGAATTTATGAAAACCTTGATTTTTATCTTCAATCTTTCTTCTCAAAACAATGCAACAATTTTAAAAGTGATATATCACAAAATTATATTTTTACATTACCACATCATATACTGTATATGCTATAATATATTGTCAACCTATGATGGACAACTATAGCAGGAATTTATTCGTTGACAATTTATTAACTTTTAATAAAAATTCATTAAACCTGTGATAAATTTGTAAATTGTGATTATATTTATAAATTATTTAATATTATTTTTATAATAATATTTAATTAATTAAATCATAATAATATACAGTAAATTATAGATTATAGATTAAAGTACTAGGAATAGATAAAATAATTCTTTAAAAACTTTTTTTACTATTCTTTTAATTATATATAAAATTATTTATCAAAAGTTTTTTGACTTAGATTAGTAAAGTATTATTATTATTTTTAAATTAACTTGTAAAATATTTTTAACGATTACTTTATACTTCACTGCTTATTTATAATCTTCTATAACTAAAAACTTGATTTTTAAAGCTCAAAAAAAGTCAAATAATATCTTTATTATCCTTAATAAAAAATTTTTAAAGAAAAAATAATTAACTATAAAGTATTTAAAAACTTTTTTATTATGAAAACAAGTTATTACAACGATTTTTAAAATAAGATTTTTTTTCTTTTCTTATTAACTATTTCTATTATTTTAAAACTTCTATTTTATAAATTTTATTTATTTCAAATTGATTTTATTTTTTTTTATTTTTTTTTTTTAAACCCTCTGTCAGGCTAGGTATGTGTGCTTTATTAAACTTATGTATACTTTACATTCAAAATGTATCACTAAAGCTAAGTCTCTACTTAACTCACTCATCTCTATTTTAAGTATTATTAAAACTCTAAGTGCAACTTCGTGAGTGATTTATCGTTCCATTAGCAGTTCAGGTAAAGACTTTTCCAACTGTTAACTTCAATACCTGCAGGTCACTACTGCAGATCACTCTATGTAATTCTGACAGAGCTTAAAACCCAACCGTTTCATTCCATACCCTACTCTTCTTGTTAGGATTTTTCAGAGACTTTTATCTTCAAGGTTTCCTTCTTTAGGTAATGGATTTCTTTTCTTCTAGAATATAGTTTTCTGGCCTAAAAGACAAGAAGGTCTTTTTGTTTTGTTTTCATTACTGATTTCTTGTGTTCGTTCCTATTCGATTACCTTTTCACATCTTTTGTTCTAGATTTCTTTTCGAATTTGGTTGCAGACTCTTTTTTGTATTTCAATATTCACTTTCTTGCTATTCTTCCTATACATTTACCTTGACATTTTAGATCTACCACTTCTAAGATAAGATCATTTATTATAAGGTCAATACAGAAACTTAGTATATTCTGACTTGTTCTAGAAGTCTATCCTATTACTTTAGTGATCCACTTGTCAAACTTTCCTAATTCTTTATGATCATCAATGCTTAGCCTGGAATTTTTTTCTTTGGCCTCTCTCTTTCTTTCCCACAATAGCTCTTTAAAGTTTCTAATGATTCTATCTACTCCTTTGTTCCATACTTTTTGTAGCTAATCTTTATAGGCTGAACATTCTAACAAGTGTTTTATAGTTTCATCTTGTTGGTTACATGTAATGCATTTTACTTGCTTGTATAAATCTGGTCTTCTTACAGCCAACTTACTTAAAGTGGATAGCTCGTCATTGACCAGTTTGATAAGAAAGCTTCTTTGTTGAGATTGTTTAAAAGATATATCTCACGTATATCCATCCTTGATCCTTTTCCATACTAAGTCCCATATGTGAGCTTGGTGTTCTGAAATCTGGTGACTCTATTTTTTCTCTGTTCTGTTTTGTTGTGTCCACTGACAGGCCATTGTCTTATTATTAATGTTCTTAAGGAACTGTCTAATTGGATCATTTAGAGTTGTCCCTTGCTACTTGATTTCGATTATAATTTTGTGCAAAGTGAGATCTTTCCATTCAATTGATAGAAATTTTGTGACTTCCTTAGCTAGGGCATCTGCTTCTTCATTATATGAGTCATTTAAGTGTGCCTTGACTTTAATAAGCTTTAGATCTAAG